GGTTAGGCTGGGCTGGGCCGGGCCGGGCTGGGTTAGGCTGGGCTGGGCCGGGCCGGGCTGGGTTAGGCTGGGCTGGGCTGGGCCGGGCCGGGCTCGGCTCTCCGCGCCCGCACAGCCCCCGGGACAGCCCCAGCCGGCACGGGCTGTGCGTGTCTGTGGAACCGCGCGGAGAAGCGGCCGTTGTGCTCCGCAACCCGGGCGGCGCGGGCTCCCCCAGGCCGCTCCGCGCTCCGCCGCGGTGCTCGGGAACGGGCGTTAGTAGCTCGGTTCTGAACGGTGGGTGGGCAGGGAGTTAGCGGGCGCCTGTGTGGAACTGTTAAAAAACGCGTAAGCACAAAGGAACCCAGTCTGCTTAGACAGCTGCCGTCACAGCTTTTCCTGTTTGTGTTTATGAATACAACGATCTCTAATCTCTCGTGGGTATAATGGATATAACCAAGCCGCTCTTAACTAACAAAATCACCCATGCATAGTTCAGAAACAAAATTATTCACCTTTACTACTTTCCTGCTAACGCTTCTCAGCCGGCATGACAAGAATCTATAACAACTGCTTGTTCTATCCTTGCTTGTCCTGTTCACAACTCTTGCATCTGCATGGTGCCGTTTAATCAAAAAGCTAAAGAAAGGCATAAGAATTAAACCAGTAGGATTGTAATGGCTTCTGTAGAATCTTAGAATTCCTGTAATTGCGTTTAAAATGTCCTGTTTTAGATGTAGTGTGGTTCAGCTTTTTCTATTAATTTTTGAGTCATCCATAAGAAAGTATTTAGATCATTTTTGCTCCAAACAGCTCCATATACTTCAGTTTTGAGCTTTTAACGTAGCTATTAAATAAATATTGCCCAGTCAATGCTTTTGCTATTCCTATTTCTAGACTGAATTAATAGTAATATTGAAGTATAGGTTTTTTGCTGAGCCTTTTTGTGCATGTCTGGATAATACCTGGAAGCAGGTTTGAGACACCTGAAAGTTTCGCTTTGTGTGGTAAGACCAACAGCTCTCTGCTTTCTATGACTTTTATGCCTGTGTGAGGAATGGTGAAGTTGCTTTAAACACCTTCAGCGCGTTCCAGGACGCTACTGAAGAGCGGACGTGACCCGTGGGAGCTGTGCTGCGGGTGTGGAGGGGTGTGAAGCAGGCCTGGGAAGCAATAACCCTCTGCTGGTTCAGCTCTTGTTCAAGGCAGTGGGTGGATGGGATGGGCTGAGCTCGGAGGAGCGGATCTCGCCCCCTACAAGTTCCTGTGGAAGGAATTAATGGCAAAGCTGTTAAGCAGGGAGCTTCAATTTTGATTCTGTGCTGCACCGCAAAGTTCCCGATCTCTGGTCTGTGCTGAGCTCTTGCACCAGCTGGAAATCAAAATAAATACCTGACGTGAGGAACACAGTTATACCCTCGTTTAGCTCTGATTACTAACCTTCTTCTTTCTAGCCCTAATTCTTCACAAGTTCCCTGTTTCATCCTACGTATTACCACATCTGAAGGAACTAAAATTAAGTCATATAAACCAACCATACCAGTACTGCTTGCTACATGTCTGAATGTGTCTGCTTCCAGCAGGTGAGGATAGGGGAGCCCCGGAGCAGCCCCTGGAGGATGTTTCTCTGTGCACACCGACTGATCACGGTCCTGATTGCTCCCAGCCAGAAGCTGGTAAGATTCCCTTTTACTGGTTTAAAAGTGCAGCTCTGCGTTCAAATATAACATAATGCTGATCTGCCCACGTCCACACACGGTAACTTCACTGGTGTGTCACAGAGAATTCTGGAAATGTCGGAAGAGACTGTCTGCCTAAGTTTGGGCATTTTAACAAGTCTGTTAATGTCAAGGATACAGTATCACCTTAGCCAATACATGTTCTGCACCTTCCAGCCTTGACCAGGATTGATTCACTCTCTCTGCTTCTCAGTTGATGCTGTGAATATTATTCAGTTGTGTTTCTCACCTGCTGGATTTGAAAAATAATTTTCTTCTCTCAGAGAAAGTTTCTCTCTGGAACAGCTGAGAGCAAGCTGAGAGTTTAATGCTTTGTGGACCTAGATATTGTCCTATAAATATTTTAAGTTTCTGGTGCATTTTTTTGTAACATAACTTACACAGTTTTAGTGTATGTATCTAGGTCTTGCTTCTTACAGTAAAAAGTTAGCCTTTAAAAGCCCACATAAAAATTCCATTTGTAGCTACGAAACTATATTTACTATACATCAGGATAATCACTAAGACATCCTAGTTTAGAATACAGGGTGCATGGTGCTGCATTCTCCCCACTATTTAATGATTTTTGTAGTATTAGCAACAAAAGTAAGAAGTCAGGCCCCAAATATTAATACATATTTCTTCAGTATGTTTTCCTTCCTGTTCTGTTTTTCCAACTCTGGTGGCACATTCCTGTCATGTTTTTGAAGACATACATTCTCATGAAATGGCATAGCTCATTGTCTGGGGAGGTACCAAATACTGTAGTTTTTACTGTGTATGTCTGACAGCACTTTGCTTACAGGCAATCTCCTTGCTTTGGTGGTAGTTAGTTAGTCTTGTCTTGAACGCTGAAATGACAATACTGTTTTTATGGCTGCTTAGGTGGGAGCTTTCATCTTGCTTTGGTAAAGCTGAAACTGATGCTGAAAGGGCAGATGTGGTCACTGGAAGGGATGTGTAGAAAAGGTAAGCCTGAAAATCTGCTGTAATGCTGCTCTTAAACCTCTGAAAAATAGAATGTGTTAATTTAAAAACAGTGTTGTCACGTTGCTTGTGGGACACCAAATTAAGTAATATGTTTGAGTCATTTATCGTATGATATTCTTATAATTTCAACTAGTGTGGATGAATTTGAAATGTATGTATTTTTAAATTTATTTTTCATCTTAGCCCAGTAAAACCCCTGACACTGCAGCTAACCTTGATATTCCTCAGAGAGGCAGGCACAATGCTTTCTGGACCCGCGCAAAGCTTCCACCAGAACGTTTCTGTCCCATCAGTTTCCATCTGGCACAGAACTGGTCAGTGGAGCCTTGGGCACGTGAAAAACTGCTACAGCTTGCACAGAGCATGCTGCGGAAGGCAGATTTTTTCCCATGCTTTGATACTCATCTTTTGCTAGGCATTTGAAGTCCTCAACAGACATGAACGCACAATGCACTTGCTTTCTCTTTAGGGCCTTCTTACAAATCTTTTCAGCAGTGTTAGATTATAGCTACTGATATGAAAGTATGTGTAAGTAAAGTCTGAATTATCAGCACTTCTACAGAAGTCAGAATGTTTCTCTTTATTTTACCTTTGCCTTTTGCTTCTAGTATGCTTGAACTGTTGGTTTTTCCCAATAACAAAATTTAAGCAAGCTATAGCACCACCTCCTGTCCAAAGTTGGCTTTGGTGTGAATCAATAGAGCAAACAAAAAAAAGTTGTTTTTGTTTTTTTTTTTTCTGCCTGAAACAGGATGCAGAAAATGTGAACTTTAATTCCTTTCAATTGACTTTTCCTTCTTATGTTTTACAATAGGAATTTCGGAAATATCAACCCTGCTTTTACTGGAATATGTTCTCAGGGGTGTGGGGTATTTTTGCTCGTGTAAATTGCATTAAGAAATTTAGCAGCTGTTGCTGTTTTAAGAAAAAAAGAGTACAAAATGTTACCTTAACATGACTTTTATTAATAAGCTCCAAGTTCACAGATGAGGTGCACAAGGCCTGTAGAGATTTTTTGCAGAGAAAATTACTTGCAAAGCTCTGGCTTGCAAGGCTTTAAAGCTCTTTGGGGCAGTATCTGGCTTGTTGATCTGGTTTGGTACACCACCTAGCCTTGGTAGTACTAATCTAAATTTTGTAACTTTGACAAGGCCTAGCAAGATTACTTATGTACACGTGCAAAATGGACTGTTTACACAGCTGTAACGATGTAGCAACAACAAATATTGCTCTAAGGCAAAAAATATTTTATTTCAGGCAATATTTCCTAACTCTTGCTCCCTCTGGAACTTTAGGCCAGATCTAATGTAAATAAGGTATGAGTAGTCTAAGACAAAAGGGGAGGGATTCCTGAGCAGGCAGATGAACCTGCGCATCTTAAGGTTTGGGTGAAGCACGGGAAAACACAAAATCATATATATGGCATAGCAATTCTACCATGTGTACTATAGCCCTAATTGGTACAGCCTTGTGGGATGCAAACTTTGAACTGAGAGCAAAATTTGATGTTTGTTTTGGGGAGCATATACAACTGGAATGAGATACTGAAAGCTGAAGGTCTGTTTGTTTTAACTTACAGTTGTTTCTGCAGGCACATATGCACCTAAACCAGCTCCATGTGTAGTAACAACAGATTTACAGATGTCATCCCATCGTTTTTGTGTTTAGAAACAAGACTGTAGTGAGATCTTGAGGGTCAAGGATGTAAGAAAAACATTTTTAAATCTTGAGTGTAGGGAAAAAAGAATAAACTTCTCTTATAATGAAGCCCTTATTTCATCTGCCTGAGTGATCTCTGTGTCTTTGCAAAGTGGCCGGGAGGCGGCAGGGCAGGCGCCGTCCTTGGGCTCTCTTTGCTGCCCTCCCTGTGCACAGGGCAGAGCTGGAAGGGGACTGGCGTTAAGGGGACCCGGCTTCTGGCTCTGCCAGAATAAATGGTTCAGTACGGTCACAGAATCCTCTAGAGACCATCTTAATACGTAAAGGAATTTAGTAGAAAAAGGCATGGTGCCTGTTCTTGTACTGCTTTAGTAACAAATAATAAAGCATACCTGATCCATTTACAGAGTATTTGTCTAGTACTGATAGTGTCTAGTATGCATCAAAAATAGATAATCACTTCTCCTAAACACACCTAATGCAATGAGATTTGGCTCCAAGTGTATTTAATCCCAAGCA